GTTTCACTTCATCTCTGTTAGAATGGCTATCATCCAAAAATCAAAAATAACAAATGTTGGTGAGGATGTGGGGGGAAAAAAAGATACCTCAAAACATTGTTGGTGGGAATATAACTAGCACAAGCATCATGAAAGATGGCATGGAGATTCCTCTGCAGACAGGCCTACCAGGTGACCCAGCCATCCACTCCTGGGAATGCACCCAGACAAAATGCAATTAGCATATAAAAGAACTGTTTGTCTTTCCACATAAAAATGCAGTTGTTACATAGCATGTCACGGAAGCCTAACACACAAAAACAAAAACTGAGAAAAGACCTTTCCAGATACTAGCAAACAATAAAGGTAAATGGGCTTGGCCTTGGAAGCACAAGAAGCTGAAGCAATGAGAGCCTGGTAATGGAGATCAAGATTAAAAGCAAAAGAAGTTGGAGAAGTAAATAGAATATGTGAGATATGTATGTTTTGCAGTGCTACTGAAGAAATGTGCTGGGAAAGAGCAGATGACTGAAACCCTACACCAACATCAACAACAGACAGAAGGCAGTTTAAGTCGGTAATAGGACTTCCCAACAGCTCACAGCATACATACTTTAAAAATGCAAGATTTCAGGTCTGGCGCAGTAGCCTAGTACATGCACTGGGATCCCACTTGGGCACCAGTTCTAATCCCGGCAGCCGCACTTCCCATCCAGCTCCCTGCTTGTGGCCTGGGAAAGCAGTCGAGGACGGCCCAAGGCCTTGGGACCCTGCACCCACATGGGAGATCTGGAAGAGGCTCCAGACTCCTGACTTCAGATCAGTGTAGCTCTGGCCATTGTGGCCACTTGGAGAGCAAAACAATGGATGGAAGATCTTTCTCTGTCTCTCCTCCTCTCTGTATATCTGACTTTTCAATAAAAATAATTTTTAAATGCATGGATTTAAAATTTTTCTGCACCCAATTTTTTTATTCCATTGTTCTACACACCATTATTTGGAAGACTGACACAATGACTGACAGAAAAGGGAAGGAAGACTTAGGACAAAAACCCCTTGCTCTGGTCTGAGTATCCCCATCCCACCGCAATGAAGTTAGGCTCAGAGGCCTCCTGGGGAGTGATTCAGCCCTGAGGGCTCAGGATTAGCACCTCAGGCAAAGACGGGGGGGGGGGGGGGGGGGGGGGGGGGGGGGGGGGGGAACCTTGTGTTCGTTTTAGCCCTTTCTGCACTACTTCCACCTTCTGCCAGCTGAGACCACAGCATTCTCCCCTTCTGTCACACGGGAACTCACAAGGTCCTCATTCAACATCAAATGTAGCAGCTGCATCTTGGAATGCCCAGCTCCTGCAACTGTGAGAAATTTTACTGTTTATAAATTACCCCCCACACACACACAATATAGAAGAAATGTTTCCAGAATGAAGATAGAGTTTCACACCATTTGTACTCTCCAAAAAATACCAGGTAAGCCTTCGCTGGGTGATTATACAAGTATCCTCCATATGCTGGAGCTCCAAAGGAAACAAGTCTAATTTTCCCAAGGTATGGAAAGATAAACAAACTTATGTTTGAGTTTCAAGAAACAGTTGACTAAATTCTCATGATCTAACTGTTGAAAGTTAATCAAAGGAAAAAAATGGCAAAAGACATTACATTTAATCACAGTAAACTTCATACAGAAGGCCGCCCCATCTCAGAATCCCCCACCTCACAGAATGAGAACCACCGCCTTTCCAAGTACTCTCAGAAAATGAAACTACTCCAAATAACAGGTACTGCTGTTGCTACTGATATTATCTTATTTAAGAATTCAAACTAATTTTACAAAGTATTTGATTACAGAGTTTATACATGTCATTCATATTTGCTACCTCTTATACTTTGTCTCTAATGTCAAGGAAAACCTATTTCAGTACGTTAGGGTGAAACAAGAACCATGATTTTTCCTTTAAAGGTTTGTTTTTATCGGAAAGGCAGATTACAGAAAGAGATTCAGAAAGATCTTCTGTCCATTAGCTCACTCCCCAAGTGGCCACAATGGCCGGAGCTGAGTGCATCTGAAGCCAGGAGCTTCTCCCTGGTCCCCCACAAGGGTGCAAGATCCCAAGGCTTTGGGCCGTCCTCTACTGCTTTCCCAGGCCACAAGCAGGGAGCGGGAAGGGAAGTGGAGCAGCAAGGACACGAACCAGTGACCATACGGGATCCTGGATGCATGCAAGGTAAGGATGTAGCCACAAGGCTACTGCACTGGATCCCAGAATTATGACTTTTACACATATAACTGTGTAACTCCTCTTTTCCCCACGACCAAATACGGTGTTTAATCAGATCAGATAGAACTAAGTTCAGATTATGTTACAAAAGAAAAAGAGATCAAATTATGGAAAAAAGATAAAAATTACAAAAAAAGAAAAATGATTTTGTTCCCAGGCTTCATTCCTACTCAAATCTGTGACCAAACCATTAGCAAACATGCAAAAAAATCCTGATCTGGAACAGGTCCAGACTAACATACAGACAAAAGTTTTCTTTCAACTCCAAAAATTCCATTTCTATCCTAGTACTTTAGACTTCTCCTTTAACAACCTTTGAGAAAGGTGATTGCATGGATCGGCCTTTCAATATATGACCCAACATGCTTTCCCGCTTTAGATCACAATTAACAGAAAAGTCTGAAAGGAAAAAGAGGAATATTTTAAAATCATGGAAAACCAGGCCACCTAAGCTAATTGTTTTGGTAACATATGCCAACTCTGTTTCACACACACCCTTTCTTTTACAGCCAAGCCCCAGGCCCAGCAACGGCCCCTCACTCAAATGTCTTCCGGAAAGCTGTGAGACTGAGAGGGAGGATCCAGACACAGAACAATGCCTGAAAGAACCAGGGCTGGGCCAGGAACCAGGCACTTGGCTATGGCTGGGAAGGACTTGGGCATCTCATTACCTTGGAAATGTTTTTGCTGTTGTTAGAAATACACAACTTTTCAGGCACCACCAAGATGCACTCTATCAGAAAATCCCAAGTTTGGTTTTAAAAGCCCTCCCTGTGAGATTCTGACGCATAATCAAGTGTGAGAGACACTGCAGAAACTGCTCTCCTGTGGGCCAGTGGCTAACAATAACTAGAAACAGGTTTTCCTTAGCTGCCACCATTCATATGCTCAGAGAGCCACCTGATACACAGGAAGCCTTCCCCAAGCCCCAGGAGCTCGGCCCCTCTGCCCCGCATACACACACAGGTGACAAGTGGCTCACAGACTGGCACCTTTCTTCTGCATCGCAGGCACCCAGTCCCCACAACATGGCACAAACACTGTTTCGAAGAAGAGAATATTCTGGCATGCCCGAGAAATGTCACTAATACCTTCTATACAGAAAAGCTCTAATGAAGTTCTCCTGCGGAAAATACGACAACAGGGAAATGAAGTGTCCTACAGAATCAGAAACTCAAGAGCAATTCTTAAAAGGTGACGCACAAGCTGGCAGAAAAAGCAAAATATAAAACAGTATACATCACTAACTTTTTAAGAGCACCGGTAACTTCCTCTTACATGTTCATACTATGAATGTTACCAACTGAATAAATACTGGGGGCCGGGAGGAATAAGAAGTAAGAAAACACAAGGCAACTAAAGTGCCTAGAATTTCTGGCGGCCAGTCTCACTGTCAAATTCTTGCTCCCCAATATTGTCACACTAACATGTTCTGACTTTAGGTTCAAGAAATACATGGTCAATGGTGAGCCAAAGAAAATCAGAGTCATTATCATCGAGTAAAACCTAATACGAAGGGATTATTAATCTTAAAAACACCAAGAAATAAAACAGAAGTAAGAATTGTGGCACAGCTAGTCAAGCTACTGCTTGTGTCGCCAGCATCCCACATGAGCACACATGGACAACAGCGCAACTCCTGATGGCTCAGCTCTCTTAGGCACCTGAAAAAGCGGAAGATGGACCAACTACGTGGACCTCGGCCTCTATGAGAGATGTGAATGGGGTTCAGGTTCCTCAGACCCAGCTGTCCCTATTACTTGAGAAGTGAACCAGCAGAAGGAAGATGTTCTTTTTTCTTTCTCCTTTTTCTGTCTTTCAGATAAAAGTTAATTTAAAAAAAAAAAAAGTGTTCAACATGTTGAAGCGATTTCATCATCAACAATAGATCAGTGCCCATGACAGGTAACTAGCTACACTCAAATATTTCGCACAGCAACCAAGGCAGGAGCATGGGTCCAATTGGCACTTCCAGCTTTAACTCTTACTCCTCCCTCCCCACTTCCACTGTTCCATGGAAGTAGCCAACATTCCAATCTGCAGGATCCAGGTGAAATGTAAGCTCTCCCAAGTTTCTAGGAGGACCTTTTTGGAGAACGCCGAAAAGCAGAGCCAGCTGAAGTTGCATGACACCACGCTGGGAGCAGCGTTGGTAATCAACGCCTTGGCCTCCAGCTCAGGTGCCAACCCTGGAGCTTAAATGCACAGACCTAACGACGCGCACCTGCAACGCAGTGTACCCGGAAAACGATGGCCACTCACTCTTCAAAAACACTGTCCTCCTTCACTTCACCCACCCAGGCACACGCACCCACCGCCGCCCGCCAAAGCGGATAAACCACCCCCCCTTGGTGGCCACCGGCAAGCACCACCTCCCAGCCCTGCTGACCAAAGGTGTCCTGGGGCGCCAAGCCAGGGTCCCAGGAGACGGCGGGATCTGGGGACGGCACAGCCGCCGCGCCCTCTAACTTGGTCCCGCGGCCCGGCTCCTAGCCCCCCGAACACGCGGCTCCGGCCCCGCGGCCCGCCGGTCCCCCAGCTTCTTCCCCTCAAACCCGGAACCGGGCTCCGGCCCGCGCCTAGCCGCCGGCTCGGGCCTAGGCTCGGCCGTGGTCTTCCGGGGCTCCTCACCACCACCACCACTGTCCGAGCCGCCCCTGCTCAGGCGAGGAGGTGCGGGGAGAGACCGGGGATGCAAGGCTGGCCCCGGAGTCCATTCCTCCCGCCAAGCAGCGCAGGACTCACCTTCGTACTGCAGGTCCACCAGCACCAGCAGGAAGGGGAACACTGAGCCCAGCCGGCTGGTCACGGAGCCGGGGGCCACCATGTCCGAGGAGGCGGAAGGGTGCCGGGCCCAGCAGCCCGCGCCGGCGCTCAAGCCTTCGCTGCGCCCGCCCGCCCGCCGCGGGTTCCTGTCAGGCCTACGAGGCTCCTGGCGCCCGGCAGAAAAGGGCAGCGGTGGGCGGGGCCCGGCCGACGCTCCGCCCCGGAGCGCCGCCGCCGACCAATCGCCTCCTTTCTGGCCGCTGTTCCACCGGGCTCGCCTGGGTCGTGGTCGGCGCTGATAGGCTGCGGAGGCCGCCGCCCCGCCCCGCTTCTGATAGGATAACGTGGAAGCTCGAGACGAGGCTGCGTCCGGCGGTCGTGGAGCTGTCAGCGAGCCCCAAACCGCCGCGGCCGCGGGAGGGAGGCGGCGGGGAGCCGGGGCGCCGGTCGCCGAGCCCGCATGCGCGGGCCGCCCGAGGACGGCGTTGAGACGGCGGGTCGGCGCCGAGGCCTGGCTGGGAGGACCAGCCATTGGGGGCTCTCCTGGGTGGTGTTTGCACTGGAAGGTGCGCTCGCGGCGTCCGCCATGGGAAGTCCAGGAGCTGTCCCAGGAAGTCCGCAAGGGAAGGCCGGACGCTGTCCCAGGAAGTCGGAAGGGGGACGGAGCATCCCGGAACAAAAACTGACTCAAGTGTAAGCAAGGAAGGGTCAGGAGGTGCGACTCGGTTAAGTAGGTGACCTAATGGCGGTAAAAGCCTTCCAGGAAAGCCAGAAGAAAGTTTATAAGCCCTAAGATGGGTAAGTAACAGTGGCTTGGAAACTTGGGGTCACCCTCCACTGCTACTCCCAATGTCCAGTGTACAGGAAAAAGGGGAAAAAAAATAAGTTCTGGAAGATTCTGCACAGAAGAGGCCAAGGAGACATTCCGGCTTTAGAGGACAAGGGACCCTCAAGGATGCTGCCAATGTCAACTGGAGGAAAAAAAAAAAAAGAATGGCGCTTGCATCTTGTGCTTCCCCGAGGAAATCAGAGACTAAGCTGAACCAGACAAAGTTTAAGTTGCTCAAATTGGCATTAGATATGTTCCCTGCCGTTTTCTCTGCCCTGCACACACACACACACAGCAGCCATTTGTGAGTGGATGTACCTCTTGGCCATTCAGTTTGATTTTAATTTGTACTTTATGAAAGGCAGAAAGAGTGAGGCAGGTCCATCCATCTTTAATAGTCTCATTTACTCCCTAGGTTGCCAGGGCTGCCAGTCCAAAGCTGAGTGTCAGAGACCCAAATATTTAACCGTACTTGTTGCCTTCCAGGCTGTGCGTTGGCAGGAAACGAAGATAAACAGCAGAGCTCAGACTTGAACCCAGGAACTCAACATGGTACATTGAGATCCCAAGCAGAGTTTTAACCACTAAGCCAAAAGCTTGCCCTACCAGCCGTGTTTTATTTGGAGTGAAATGGGTTGTAGTGTGTGCATTAAGTATTGTCAGCAGTGTATCTGTTGCTTTGCCACTGATTCTGTGTTTGCCACCTTCTAGAAGAGCTCATAAGTTGTAAATGTGAATTTCTGGTATCTTGAAGATAAAGAACACAAAAGGGTGTCTATTCCAAATGAAACTAATTTGAAGGAGATAATTTCAAGAAAGGAAAAGAAATGCTAAGTCCTTGATTAATTGTGAAGAAGACACTGTGAGGAACAGAAAAATACCTTGACTTTTCTGAGTTACCTTCAAGTGGGTGTGATGCTAACAGCCTCAAAGGTTTGTTTTTCAGGCATCGTGAAGTAGGTGAATGTTACTTTAAAGTGTAGAGTATTTTCCAGATGTTGCTCGTGATGCTATCAAGAGAATTCCTCAAGAATTCCATCGACTTTTCGTTTGTTCATACCTTTTTTTCCACCTTAAGACCGTGTGAACGTGTGAATGAACAAATGGCAGACTTCAGTCGCCACAGCCAAGCTAGCGACACAACGAGGCGTTATGGCCAAGGCGGCCAACAAAATGCTAAAGGAGGAAGAAGGGATTTTGTAAACAAAACCCAATAACGCTAGACTATTACTAATTAATGTTAGACTGCTGCCTGTGACACTGTTCTTGAAGAAAAAGCTCAAAAGATCAAAATTGAAAGTAATGTGAGCATTTATTTCCATAAAAATTTTTAACATTGGAATTCTTTAGTCAAGTACGTTTAAAATCTTAAGAAATCAGATTATTTGCTCTGAAATTGTTATTTATCTATGCCCACCACATACTTTACCGTCACTATATAAAATGGATTGTCATGGTTTTTGTGACTGTGTTAAATGAAAAATTACCCTGGGGTCTGCATTGTGACATAGGCAGTTAAACTGGTGCCTGCAATGCCAGCATCCCTTATGGGTACCAGTTTGAGTCCTGGCTTTTCTACTTCCCACCCAGCTCCCTGCTGATATGTCTAGGAAAGCAGCACAAAATGGCCCAAAGGCTTGAGCCCCTGTATCCACATGGGAGACCTGGAGGAAGCTCCATGCTTCTGGTGTCCACTTTGCACAGCCTACCCGCCTCTACCCTTAAAATAAACAAATCTTTAAAAAAAAAAAAAAAGAAATACAGTAAAAAGACAATTGCCTTTTATGGCAACTTTACTATGTGTTTCCATGGATTTGAGATGCTGATCAAAACACAGTGTCTTCATGTAAATTTTTTTTTTAAAGATTTATTTTTATTATTTTTTCATTGGAAAGGCAGATATACAGAGAGGAGAGACAGAGAGGAAGATCTTCCGTCCAATGATTCACTCCCCAAGTGAGCACAACGGGCCGATACTATGCCGATCCAAAGCCAGGAGCCTCTTCCGGGTCTCCCACGCGGGTGCAGGTTCCCAAAGCTTTTGGGCCGTCCTCGACTGCTTTTCCGGGCCACAGGCAGGGAGCTGGAAGGAAAGCGGGGCTGCCGGGATTAGAACCGGCACCCATATGGGATCCCGGACGTGCAAGGCGAGGACCTTTAACCACTTGCGCCACCGCGCCGGGCCCACATGTAAAATTTTTAAAAGCTGTCCTTTCTTCTAATTAGCCACTGCCTTGGCTCCCAGAAATATCACTCAACTCTCTACTTCTGTCTTCACATTAATATCTCTCGCTTTTGACCTTGCTTCTCTCGTAATCCTTGTAATTATTTCAGGACCTGTTAGGTAGTCCAGGATATAGTCTTTTCAACAAATTGTACTGAAGCAACTAGAGAGCCACATGCACAAAAGAATGAACACAGACCTCTTCCTTAGATCACATACCAATTCAAGTTCTATCATAAACCTAAAAGCATAACCTGTAAGACTCATAGGGAAAAAATGGGAATAAGTGTTCATGATCCCCAATTCAATGAAGCTTTCTGTACCACACAGAAATCACAGGCAATGAGGAGATTTCACAAAGCTTTTAAACCCTTGTGCTCAAAAGGACATTACTAAAAGAAAAACACTTTAAGATCACAAATGGAAGAAAAATTACAAGTCATATGTTCGATAAAGGACTTGGATCTATGGTCGAGGAACTCAACACGGTGACTGGCTGTGGAGTCTCAAGCAATCTTGCACCCATTGCGTCTGCCATTTTCAGTATTCTGCTCCTGGGCCCACCTACTTGGTTGAGCTTCCTTGCCACCGCTACCACTTGCAGAGGGTGGATTCCGAAGCAGGAAGAACTCCCAGGCTTTACAGCCTCCCTCCAGTTGAGGGATCCAATCTTTCATGAGGCTTTGATGAACCAACAGAAGAACCTGTGACAAAGAACAAAATAACTTCCAGCATCTTTGAGACCGCTGAGAAAAAAATCTCCCCTCCTGTGCCAAGAGGGTAGGTGCCAAGTCTGGCAGTGGCAGAGAGGATTCTGAGTCATCCAGGCTGCAGAGAAGAAATTCCTCTGAAGCTAGCTAGAAAGACTTGTTTGATCTGAAAGGAGAAGATACCATTCATGAAAATATGGACACAGGCTTGCAAGCCAGCCAGGGGCAGAATGAATAGAAGCCTATGTCTGTTGCACCTGTGCCCAGCTCAGAGGCCAACCCTGTTCCATCAATGAGAAACACCCCCTAGCAGCAAACCCTGCCATGTCTCAGGTTAACTCTACCTATCTTCAACTCTGGTTTTGTTACTTTCTTCATGCTTGTAAACTATACAACTTGAGACTGATTGTACAGTTTGGGGATTTATTCCACTTAGTGTTGTCATTTTTCCTTCTTCGGGAATGGCTGTTTCACTTTCCCTCTGTCCTGATTCCTTGGGGTCTCTGGAATGTGGCATATGAGTTTCCTAGCAGGATATTGGAGGGAAAGCTTTGTGACACTTGGTGTCATGTTTTTAAGAACAAATACTTGGATTTCTAATCCATTAGAAGGACTTTTGTACCAAGATTTTGAACATGCTACTGGGACAATGAGCCGTGGCACAATTCCTGTCACCCCCAACTCACAAGACTGTTGCATCCCAGAGCCTTTTCCTTGACATGTCCACCTTCCTGTCTCCTTTGAGTGGAAGAATATTCCTGTGTGTTGTGCAATACAATACAGTCCCACAACTCATGACTATCTGCCTGCAAAAGACAGAGAAACTGCTTTTTACTTTTTGACATTCAGAAGAAATCCAGATACTAGCAGGAATGGCTTTCTGGTAGCCAAGTTGGCTGGTGTCTGCAGCAGAAAGCTTTAAATCTACAAACTCACAGGAAGGAAAAGTGGAGAAGCAAGCAAGAGAGGTGACCACACACAAATGGGTCTTTGTCCATGCAGGAGCAAATCCCCCAGGGACATTATTCTTACTAAATAATTCGATGCTGTGTGGCTGATGCTGGTGCTTGGCAATGAAACAGAATTCTCATCCTTACAATGTGTCCCGTACTTCACAATCACAGAATGTTGCTTAAAGTAAATGATACCCACTTTAAATAAAAAAGGGGGAATCTACTCAGAATATATAAAGAACTATTACAAAAAAAAAAAAAAGAGCAGAATGGGGCAGGCATTGGAGCTGGGAATTGAGATGTCAGGATGGCTACACCCCAATCTGATGCCTGGGGGCAACTCCCATCTCCTGCTTCTGATTCCAGGTTATTGGTAATCAGACCCCAAGAAGCAGCAGTGATGGTTCAAGTAATTGGATTCCACCCAATTGAAAGACTTGAATT